TTATTTATTTATGTCATTATTATTGTTATTATTATTTCATTATTGTTATTGCTTGATTATTGTCACTACTATTGTTGTCATTAGGCATCATACGGGGCCAGAGATAAAGAGAGAGCATGGGGCATTGGAGAGGGAGGTGACGATATCCTTTTTCGCGATAAGCACTCACCTCCTTCATCCTTCGTCGTACTTATCCTTGTGGGTTCTCTTAGATGCCTGCCTTCTTGGTTTAATTGTTAATGACATGATTCTCATGGATTAATCATGACCTAAGTTTAATTTAAGGACCAGCAGTTGATTGCATAAATCACACATGGTCAGTGACAGGGCGATTGCGGGAGCTCTGCCGGAGTTCAGGCGGAACTCTGGAGGCAGGGAACGACGAGGTACGTTACTTCGACCCAGTTGCTGTTTCATATAGGCTATCATCCATAACAATGATCATAAGGGTTAGAGATTCAGGATCTATAACTCTTCAAGGATTAAGGGATGGACAAAGGTCTTGGATTGCGGGTACAGAAAAGGTTGGCTGAGTGGAAACTGATTGCTTCTGGGTGTAACGATCTTGCTGTGTGGACATTGATTGGAAATATGGATACAAGGGATCAACCTCTCACGATCATTCTCTCTATACCCCATCTAAACAATGATGGGTACCCTTGATTTGAGTTGGCTATAATCAATTGTCATGGATCACACCGATCATTTCTCATTATGCATCTGACCCAGCATAAGTTCTCAAACTAACAACAATTCAGGGCTCGAATGCCATCAAAGGCGATAACTTGATCCGTCGATAAGACATGTGTGGAGGTAAGAATAGCAAGGAAAGTCTACCTTACCTCCGATAAGCCTTACACTCGGTCAGTGGTAAGAATAACAGGATTCCTTGAACACACGCCCTATTGAAGGCTAGCCAGTGATAAGATTAGCAGAGAAAGTCTGCCTTATCAGTGACTAGTCTGATATAAGAGTAGCGAGGTTTCAAGGACACCTGCCTTATCATTGATCAATCTAACATTCTTTCAATGATAAGAGTAGTAGAGAAAGTCTGCCTTATCAGTGACTAGTCCGATATAAGAGTAGCGAGGTTTCAAAGACACCTGCCTTATCAGTAAACATCCTAGCACTTAGTCAGTGATAAGAGTAGCAAGGATCCTTGGATACCTGCCTTATTGATGGCTGGTCGATGATAAGAGTAGCAGGGAAAGCCTGCCTTATCAGTGACTAGTCTGACATAAGAGTAGCAAGGTTTCAGGGATACCTGCCTTATCAATGGCTAGCCATAGGATAAGCCTACCACTAAGTGTGTTTCAGCGCACAGGGGCCAAGACCACAAGGTTTGCCTTTTGTCAAACAAGTTCCGGTAACAAGTGGATATATCCTGAATGGTCTATCATACCACCGCTAACTTTCTTCACAACCTGCATCGTTCGGTCCTAACTAACTATCTCTGATTCTACCGGAAGGGTAAGGCGACATCTTGACTCAGAGAGGCTTATCACCCTTTGGAATTCTGATTTGAGCTCTATCACATGATTCCTTTCTGAATTGAATGAATGGTATTGCTTGTGGTGGCTAGGGACATGGGGCTCATAAAAAAGAAACTAAGTAGAATCGCAGGTACGAAGGGGCGAAGAATGAGCTTTGTTCGTCGCCTGGACCGACTGGGCGGCAGACTGACAATAAGATCAGGATAGAGATTAGGCAGTAGGTCGATGACAAACGCTGACTCTGATCACAAGTGGGATCTTCCACATCCCAACGTCAAAGAAGCGACGTTAAGATTCTTTCGGGTTGTGTTGTGTCTACAGGTTCACTATTCTTGGGAAGGACTACGGAAGAGAACCGTAAGGAACTTCAATTCTGTTATCTTTGGATAACAGGTCGGTATAACTCCGACTCAACTTCCACATGGCTTGATACCCACACCTAAGACAAGACCTAAGAAAGGAACAGATAAATCTTCCTCCTGTATCTACACCTAAATTTGTCCAAATCACACTCAGAGGTCTTTGAAAATGTGAAGGG